CCAGCGCTGGATCTTTATTGCCCGAGTTCATTACCACGTAGCTCTTCAAAACTTGCAGCAATTATCGGAACATGATTGTTTTCATTCTGACTTTACAGTTGAAGTGAAGATTGAGATCGATGGTAAATTGCCGTGTATAACCCATACTTGAAATCAGACGGTCTATTCAACACCATACATACAGCCATGGAGCGGGGTTGGTATAAGCATTTAATTTTAGGTCTGATGGTGTTCCACTGTGCGACTCTTACCTCAACGGGTACGGTTCATGCAAACAAGGAAGCGTGTGAGGTGTGTGAGTGTAGCGACCACGGGCTCCGCATAGTTGACTGCAGTGATAGAGGTCTGATGGAGTTACCGAAGGGGATACCAAATGACACCAAAGTACTGTAAGTGCAACAACTATCATTGCTGGCCCTTAACAACGTCATTTTTGCATACCTTTCTGACTGACTGACTCCCCGACTGACCGACCGACTGACTGACTGACTGACTGATTAAACTTGACAGTAACAATGAAACAGCCAAGAGTCCTCTTTGTACCTGTCTGACTGATGACTACTCCTTGTGAGTCGGGCATAGGATTATCCCGCAACAATGAAGCAGCCAAAAGTTCTCTTTGTACCTGTCTGACTGACTGACTGCTCCTTGTGAGCCGGGCAGTGTTATCATATAGGATTACCCGCAACAATGAAGCAGCCAAGAGTCATCTTTGTACATGTCTGACTGAATGACTGCCCTTTGTGAGCCGAGAAGTGCAATCGTAAAGGATTACCCCGTAACGCGGCCCTGTGTGGAGACCAGATGTTCGTGAATAACACATTCTGAATCAATGATTACTATGTTTGTGGGCTCTGGGACCAGCTTTACTAGCGTTGCTTTGTCTTGCTATTATGGGTTGACTACAATGTATATTTGATTACAATGAAGCTAGTATTCAGGGAATAATGTATACCTAGTCGGCTTTAAACACTATGTTCAAGACTAGTTTGTTTGTTTGTTTGTTTGTTTGTTGGGGTGTTGGGGTGTTGGGGTGTTTGTATTAATTTCCATTCATATAAAATCAAGAAAGAATACACAAAATGATACAATAACAAAATTAATTATACAAATACTTTATCTGAAACAAAATAATTATATGAATGGGGGTGACATCCGAGAGCAGGACAAAACCTTCTGTAGAGGAGCACCCTAGACTTCTGTCAAATTACACAAGTATATCCATGTAATTATACATTCTATTTCAGTTGCATAACTTTCGGTTGAGATGATGTTCGTTTCCGGGTTTGATAAGTACAAAGTAACGGATAACAAATAACAAACACTGCCTTGCTCATTATGGACAGGAAAAGCAGTTAGGATTGACACAAAGAAAATACCTGTATTTGTCTCAATAAAATTCTTTTAAGTGCTTCATAAAAACCTTTTTTGACAGGTAAACTAAATCGTTTCTTAAAAAGGGTGGGAATGAATTAACAATGGTAGGCAAAACATGTCTATAATTAGCAGAAGCAATGTCTAGCCTACAGGTGGTTTGCAAATGAATAAGTTTGCCTTGACGAGTAGCATATGAGTGAACATCTTGGTTCAAGGGGAAAAAAAAATCATCGCAACTTAAATTTTTTGGAAGCAGTTTATGAAAATTATCATAATAGTGTGAGGCAATCTGGAAATTATAAACTTCTTCAAACTTAAGAATATTAAACTTAAAACATAGAGGTGAAGTATGGGCATTATATTTGGCATGTCAGGCATTCCTAAGGCATTTCTTTTGTAAAGAAACAATCCTATCATAAAAAAGATGGATAAATCCTAATCAAACCACCCCATGCCAAGACTCCATAATTTAAATAGGAATTAACCAGTACATTGTAAATAGAAATACCATCTTTTATCCTCATAAGTCTTTTGGTTCTATTAAGAATATAATTAGCTTTAGGAATGTTATTACAAACATAAGAAATCTGTTCCTTCCAGAGCATATTTTTATTAGTCTCAAGACCTAAAAGTCTTGTACTGGGGACCTTTTTAAGAAAACATTTTTTTTTAAATAATGATATGTCGGGTGAGTAACGTTCCTTTTGCCTGGATGTATAACATATAAAATAGGTTTTATCAGGATGGAATCTTTACCTATTTGCTCTAAACCAGTATTGTAAAATTAATAGATCTCTGTTAACCTCCGTAGCCAATACATTTAAGTCAATCCTAGAGGTAAGAAGAGTTGTGTCATCCGCAAATAAAATGGCATAACAACAAAATGGCATATCATTAACATAAACTAAAAATAATAGTGGTCCCAGTGTGGAGCCTTAGGGGTACGCCACAATTAATATCTTGATAGTTGGATTTAACTCCATTCAATGTCACATACTGCTTGTATTTGTAGTATGAATGACTGCAACAGGTCATAAACATATGGTTTAAAACTGGCCAAGCACTTATTCATTCCCATTCATAAACACCTTTTTGGTAAAAAAAAAAACCACACAGCCTTTCTGTCTAAAAGTCAAAACAAGTCAAACATTATAAATTTCAAACGATTTTGTTCAACAATTTTACCTCATGTTTTTCGAAACACCACTCTAGAAGTATAACATGGATTTTCCCTGTCGCAAAAAGTTGTAAACAACTCCTTAAATGGAGATTGGCGCGCGCATCGCGCGTACGTACTGCGCGTTGTGACGCAGAATGCAGCTGCTGTGTCAGTTTAGTGTGAACTTAGGACTATGAAATACTGAGTCAGTGGTAGTATTACGCATGCCTACATGAATTTTGAGACTTCAACCAATACAACGGTAAAAAGGCACCGGATTTCACAGGAGTCCAAATTTTATGTGACACTGGGAAAGTGTTTCAGACCAGCCAGCCGGTCTTTATCATCTGTTTACGACCAGTCACGTGACGGGCTCTTCACCAATAGGAAAGGGTAAACTGTCTTAGGTATTTACAAATTCTTGATACAATCGTGCGTAGGACAAATTATTAATTCAGCTACGCCTGCACCATTTCTCTTGTATTTCCCTGGAACTTGACTCATCATCAATACTGGGCTTTAAACGTAAAATATAAGCGCTACAATCTACGATAATATAGGCCTATAGTTAAGCCCTGTATGCAATACTCAATTTCAGAAACCTCGCAGGGAATGTCTTGCAGAGGATACCTAAGAATGGCTTATTGGACCTCCCTTACCTCATTTTGCTGTAAGTATATTAATTTTTGCAAAAATTGCATAATTTATTCGAGTACAGGCATGCCATATTGTGTAATCAAGCAACGCCCTCTTGTGCAAATATTATTATCTAGCAAAGAAATGTCTTAGTAGAAACAGGATATCTACAAAAACTCGTATTTTGTATGGATTGTGCCTTGTTCTCAGCTTAGGCCGAAAAACAATAGTTCTGCTTCCGATTACATGCCTTTCAAAATTAGGGTCGGTCGGTCGGAAAAGATTTTTTTTTTTTCCCAATTTTTTGTTATGCAGATTGAATGGGGTATTCAATTATATGCGAAGTTTTAGCCTGAATTATTTCCATTGCACTACGAAAGCTATACACAAAATGGCCACAAAAAGTGAATAAAACCAACCTTAATTATTGCCAATATAGTTACGTTCGATAATTCTGAAAAAAAATAATGGAAAATTCAGGTCGTTCGCATCATATGCACAACGCTAGTCAAGACGGGAAGCTGGCCAAAACTCCAAAGTGTGTGATGCACTGTGCATGTGTGGCCAGCGGCCAACACACCTTGTTCAATTAAGGTCGAAAATTTTGAAACACGCTGCATTGTATCACTCAAAAAACGAGAAGTGCGATCTCAAAATCAACTATTGAATACGGCAAATACATACACAGACAACCTAGATCAATTCTGTGAATTAACTTGCAAAAATGTTCTTTCTCCATCGGTGTTTTCTTGGCATTTTTACGATGTCGGATCTGACCAGTTGACAGTGCACGTGCCTGCAATGCAGAGCCATGCTAGCGCTATCGATCGCATAGCCGTGCACAGACTAGTTACCGCATTTTCACCATGTCTTCTAAATTGGCGCGGCGGGAACTAGTCGTCGCTGCTTTGAGCTGGGTTTACGTTACGCACGTGATTATACTATAGTCAACGTGACATCGAATTGCAAAGTAGTTACATCGCAAAGCGAATTTGTAAAAATAACGGAGGTTTCTTTTGAAAAAATAGCGAATATAAGTAAGAAAACAAATAAATATAAGCATTTTTGGACGCAAAAGGGTTGTTGAGAGGTATTTTGTGAAGACAGAAAAGACAACAGTTTTTTTTTTTATTTATTCAATCATTTTTTTTTTCTTCTTTGAATTGCCGATAAAATTTTTAGGGTCGCAGCCTAAAAAAAAGGTCGGTTTGGTAACCGGAAGCAGAACTATTATTTTTTTGGCCTTAGTTTAAGAGCCGAATTCTTGTCTGGCAACCAATAATTCGAACCTTGTAAAGAAATGATTTAATAACCGAACGTCGATGGATTTGTTTTTGTTCAATATCTCATTCAAAAATGATTACATTATAACTTTTGTATTGCCAGGAAAAGGCAATGAGCAAATCTCGCGATTGTTCGAGGCAAAACTCTTAAATCACCGTTTCTTAATACCCGTATCTTCTGTTTTTACTAATGCAGCAATTTGACCAGCAACAACATTGACAAGCCTTTCGAAATTCCTGAGTCTTTAATGACTTTGTAAGTACATGTATATAACATTAAATATTAAACTGCCTCTGTGTAAATCTTTGTAAATCACTGACACTTTTAAGCATTGACAGAAGATTCTACATAATGCCATCGGTGTCGCATTCTTCAGCTCTGGCAGGGATCATTTTGGTTAAGTTCATGCAAGACTTTCATGCAATACTTCTTGCAACACGAGTACACCTTATTGGGCACTCGCACTCATTCCTATCAAAACACCGTAAATTTGTTAGGGTAAACCCTTTTCAAGTTTATGTGCTTTTCTGAAATGACAATAGCAATGGAAATTCTTTCATCGTTGGCTTGTAGATACGCTAGTGGAAATCAACTGCGAGACATCGACTTGGTAATGAAAAACGGAGTCAAGCTGCTAGCAGCGTGAGTCAATATTAATTGCTAATTTTCAATGATTGTTATATTCGAATAACTGAAATTGAATCTTGTTGTAGTCTATTTCGATTAATTAGCCATTTCACTACGCTCCGACTTTTAAAATATTTGAATTCCTCAAGAGAATCAGTTTGCCAAATGATTTGGTAAAGCACACGCGTTGATCTTATGATTAAATCACTGTAACTGTTAGTTTGACTGCCACAAATTAATGCCATACATTTAAGAACCTATAGACTGGAAAGGTATGGTTTTATGATGTTGTAAAATGTGCAAATAATGATGCACGATGTGTTATATTATAACGAAGCTGTTGCGCTATACCATGCATGGTGCTGCGCAGAGGACTTTGTCATCGCTAAACCGCCTTGATGATTTACGCAAAGAATTAATTTAGATTTCAAATTTTCTGTTCTAGGGATTTCGAAGACAACAGAATAAGAGCGATCAGTAAAAACACCTTTGCAAGATGTACCAAGTTGATGCATTTGTAAGTCCAAACAATTGTTATTTTGGGCGATAATGAGAATGCCACTTTTGTTAAATTTTAAGTCTTCTAAATAACTCGTCCCTGGGCTTACTTTACTTTAAAATCTCGTTTCCAATAGTAACCCATGGGTGGGAAACTTGCGTCCGGCATCCCGATTCAATACCACATGGAAAATCGTCTACTTTGTGTTTCGACTGAAGTGAATTAATGTTCAGTGTGAATTACAACGTCCATTCCTAACAAAATAAATCCTCCCTTTCTATTTTGCTTATTAGGCCCCCCTAAAAATCGCAGGTTTCTGGTTTTGAGCTTGTCCCAAAAGTGGTGCGGCGACGCGTTTTTTTGGTGGTTTTTTTTTGTTTCTTGTTTTTTTCTTCAAATGTCGGCCGGTGCCAGACTAAATTTTGTGCAAAATATATGGGAGTCCAGAGGGGGTAGGGGGATTAAGGGGTTTCCCCCCAAAAAACAAAAAATAATAATAATATTTTGTAAAGACTACATGCCCCTTTCCATTGATATGACCCCTATTTCCCCCAGCGCTTACCCCTAATATCTGTGCCCTTCTTTTGAGTGCGCTTCTTTTTGTCAACAAGTGTCATTTTTGTGCCAGCGCCCTTTACGATTTTCTTAATATATTTTTTTTTTTACTTTTGCGCTCGTTTTGCCCTGAAAAAAGCCATACTGTCCGTCAGTGTGCAGCAAACTCGTCGGTTTTGAACAGCACCCCAATTGTTAGATGTTTCCAGCCCCCCCCCCTAAAAATGACCTTGCTACGCCCCTGCACTAGAAAGCTTCCGCTGGACGTTTCTACCAAAGACCTACGTAACAGAAAGAAGTCAAACTTCGGTTTTATCTCTGGTTTGACTTCGGGTCTAGAATACGTTTTACGCCGACAACGTCAATACCAAATCCAGCATAAGAAACTGTTTCTGATTAGGGTCAAGGAATATATCTACACATATCTTGGAAAGCAAAATATAAATTTAGCCGCAGTTTCATCACAGACTCGAGTCAAGTGAGTTACCCGTTGGGCCAAGACTCAAGTTGGGTCGAGTAAAAAACAAAAAAATGGGTTCACCGTTGCTAAAGGGCGAGACAGAAGTTATTGGGAGCGCACAGTTGACATCGGGGGGACCCCGGTTTGTCTCATACTAGTTTGTTTCAGCACCGACAAAGTTCCAATTCACAAACTTAATGATTATTACTTAGCACAAAACTTTTGAGTGTAAAATTGCATTGAAACCTTTGAAAATACAGAACCATGAATGTTGAATATTTAGTTCATGAATATAAAAATGATTTTACACAAATTTGACATTATTTAATCAAACGACATACGATTCATTCCCAACTGAAAGTAACGTTCCCCCGTGCTCTTCGATTAAATATCATATTTTTCTATTAATACATTTTGAGCTGTATGTTTATATTAACACCAAAACCACTATTTTTTAATTTCCTTTTTGGAACCCTCTGGACGCAAAACAGATCCGCTTTGCTAGCAAACTGGCTCCCAGTCTTTATCTTTATTCCAAATGTTGGCCGGTAACCAGCCTACCCTGCCACAACGGCATTATTGACTGGCAGCCAATAATTTGAACGTGTAAACAAATAATTCAATATCTAAACATTGGCCGATTAGTTTCGGTCGATGTCTCATTAAAAAGTGAATAACATTATGGCCAGAAAAAAATATCAATTTACAAAAGGAATCTATTTTTGAGACGGAAGTCGAAAAAAGCTAGGGGAACGCATCCTTATGACCAAAAAACCCCTTTTTTACAGGTATTTAAACTCGAATGATTTGACTAGTATAGGAGCGGACGCATTCAAGAGTTGCACCAACCTTCAACATTTGTGAGTATATAAAACGAATATGCTTTTTTTTTCAAAAACAAATATCGCAAAACAAAATAGAGAAAATGTTTAAGCAAAGTTTTTGATTTGTCGTGGGAGAACCTGTTGACATCATGGATATTTCATCCTTTGACCCCATTTTGGAACTGTATGACGTGCTTGGCTAATTTGTGGTTGGTTTGACTGTAAATGCCATCCTTCAAACAATTACACAAAAGATGAACATTCAGTAGAAAAAAAATGACACTTTAGGCCAAGGAAAAAAGAAAAACATGTTTAGCGTCCTGCTCTTTGAAAAAAAAAAAAGGAGGAGGCCCCTTTGTTTTTCTTCCAAAATGGCCGCCCGACCGGGCTATTTTTCAAGATGGCCGACAGCTTCTTCTTGTTTAAATGGCCACCTCTTGGACTTAGAAATGACATACCAGCTTTATATGGGCTAGATGCAACAGACAAAGAGGGAAAAATGATGTCACTGTTGAAAATTTATCAGTTTTCGTGTTTAAAAAAAATGAGGCGGCCTCGAAAAAGGAAGTGGGGTGTTCGAATACTGCAAAAGATCATGTCCTTGGGTTGGTTTAAATGACAGCTTAAGGCGATGTAAATAGGCCGTGGGTGTGGGCGATTGAGGGCGTCTTCCTATGCAACCCTCGATCACGCGCTCAAATCCATGGCGTATTGCATAATGACTGGGTCCAAAGCAAAGATGAGGAACGTGACTTGGACCATAATGTCTTTCCATTGAATGAATGAAAGAATGAATGAATGAATGTATAATTATATGAAAGTGAAACATCTGCAATATGAAGATTAGCTGTGAAACAGAGCTATATTGTTCACTGGAATGTTTTGGTTCAATCAGATCCCTGGAGAGAAACAAGATATCAACCATATCAGCAAAGGAATTGACTGGCCCGAAGTTCATCGAGACCTTGTAAGTTTTTTTGTTTCGTTCTGTAACTCATGATCACTTTGTTCAAGCAACGAGTACATGTAATACACAAGAAACAAGTTATGATAAATGCAGGCATGGATTCTAACGAGTGTTTGGGTTGGCCACGTCAGCATCAGGTTTGTATTTTGCTATAATTTGCCGTTTCACATGACGTTACATGCCCTACATTAAAATTCGAGTTCCTGTTTCTTTTCTTTCCTTTTTTTCGTAGGAAAATTTCAGGAAATCATTTGAAGGAACTCGGCCCGGATACTTTTGAAGGACTACAGATACAAGAATTGTAAGAAACACTGAACGCACGGTGGACTACGGGCTCAGTGCGCGGAATAGCGTTGCTTATCTAGTGTGCGGTATGCGCGCAAATGCATGCGGCAAGTGGCATATAATTTATGTGCCATTTGACTTTTCCGCTCCGTTCACAAGTACCTCCTCACTGCCAAAAAAAGTACAGTTGGGGGTGACCGACCGACGCCATCTTGCCTGACTGCAATTTTGCCGCGACGCGGGGCCGTACGTACCACTGTGTGTCATAGTACAAATCCCCTGGTGTACGTGCGTCACACACAAGGGACGATGCGCGTCAACCAGCTAAATGTCCCGCCCATGGAACGTCGTTGCTAGGTAAAAGGGCGCCCTCTTTGTTGGCGCACGGAGCCCATAGGTTCCAAAACACGCGCACCGCATAATTATGCCGAACAGATGTGACCTGCACGTGATATACGTGAGCGTTGCGCCACCCGATTTTATTAGCCAAAATATATTTAGCCAAAATTGCACAAAGGATGTATTTTTTAAGTCTTTGATAGCTTTTGTTGGTAATTTTGTATTTTCTACAATCCAATGATATGGTTTGAAACATTGAGAACTACATGTATTCTTTATTTAAACGACAATAACCTTACATTTTTGCCAACCCGTGTACAAAGTTACGTATTATTTACGCGTTTGGCATTACAGATGGATACGAAGCAACGATTTGCAACTGTTAAGGGCACACACCTTTGGTATCGTCCCCAAGCTCAGCTGGATGTGAGTATGCATGTTAGTCTGAATAATTACTCTAAGAAGAAAAGTCTTTGAAGAACGATGGTTATTATGGTCGTTCCCTGCCGAACATTACAAACGCAAAAAAAAATGCTAAAATGTTCGCTCTATAATATAATTTTTAGAATTAACTGAAAACAATCGAAAAAAAATATGAGTAAATATCGAAGGTATAAAAGGTTATCGTTTGAATCGGATAGTACAAATAACTCTGACAATTGGCTTATATGCACACAATTTGCCTTTAAAGTTGGTATACGTGTTTTGGGGTGTGACACGTCGAAAATACAATATTATTATGAATAACATTAAACACCACACATAACAAGCATACGTACATGTACGTATACGTGTGAGCTGTGTACAGACTAACTGTACATGGTGTGCATGTACACACGTGCATGTACATGGACATTATTAAAACTAGACCTGGAAAACTACGGGTTTTACCAACCTCTGAGAGGAAAAGACGCAAAAGTAGCAGATATTCTGATGGAACGTAGGATCTATGCGGCTGCACGTAGGTCTACAATGACCGCGGAGCAGTGTCCCAGAACGGCCGCGAAAATAGTATGCTCAAAATGTGTCCTCAATTTTCATTGTTTGCAGAACGTTAGACGTCAATAGAATTCCCGAGATTCCAACCAGTTTGTTTGTGGATCCTTCGAACAAACAGCATAGAAAAGAAATCCAAACATTGTGAGTAATACTATCAAAATATCATGACCTACAATTAAGTTGGGTCATCCCAATTTAAAATATCATAAGCTGCCTGATGTCTGTCTGTCTAGCTGATGTCTGTCTGTCTGTCTGTGTGTCACGATTGTTGTAAAAGGCTTAATTTAAGAGTGTGCGCAAGCACATAATGTAATGGTTAAAGGAGAGGCTTGGTTATTGTATGAAAGTTATTATTCTGGTATACATGTTATGCTCCGATTTCACTGTCCTCTAAAAAAAATGATGAATTTGTTTTGTTTGGCTTTTATGCCAAATGTATTTCTTTCAGACTTTTAGTAGTTAAATAATACAGCAACTCTCTAAAACTATATTTGAGACTTTAAGTAGTTAAATATCACAACATTGTCTCTTTGTAAACACTCCAAAATGTATATGCATTTCGAAACCTGTCTGTATAATAAACCCCTTCTCAAAATAATACGTGGGCGCACTGACCAGCTAGCAGGATGTCGCGAGAACGCTAGTTGTGAAAAAACCTTAAGTTTATGGGTTTTTTGGTGGCTTTTTCTATAGGTATTTGAGACGGAGTACCACAACATTTGAAAAGACGGTTTTAAGTTATAACTTCCAATTGGTTTATCCGAAAACAATTTAATTGTTTAAATAATGTGTTTGTTTTGTCTAAATAATGTGTTTGTTTTGTCTCACATGCTCTTCAGTTCCTTTGCTGGTAACGCAGTAAGCCGAGTTGTCATTGGAGCTTTTAATGGTGTTAAGAAGTTCAACAAGTTGTGAGTAAACTTCATCAAAAACGTATTATATACAACATAAAACATGCTTTTTTTCCCCAAGTTTATGAGGGCAGTGTTATAACATTAGGCATTTGGGTTCAACGGTTTCAATATTAGACAACTACAGAGATGCACTGTTAGTAGCTTTGAAACCCATTTCACATCTTTGTCAAACTGTATTAGGGAAATGCAGAGCAATCACCTAACGACTCTACCAGAGGGTTTGTTTGAACCGACAACTGAAATCATGGAGTTGTAAGTGCATTACATTTCATCTTATTCATGTTTGCATATCGCCGTTTCCGTGCAACAAGGTCGTATCTAGTAAAATGGCGTGAGACGTCGTGTGCGTGAAACGCGAGTTTTCAAGGTAGTATCTCGCTTAAAACAACCCGGATGTGCAAAAGTCAAATGGACGTCGCGATACACGAGTTACGACCTCGTTGCACTGACGCGACGATATGTCGTAATGACGCTCAGTATATATATAAAAAATAAAAAAAATAATCGATCATTAATTTAAAAAAAAGCAACATTTCGTTTTATTAATAAAGGACCTTGTGGTCTTTGTTCACTGGAGGACCTGGCCATATTAAACAATCAATCCAACGAGATTCGTTATCATAACGAATATTATAGTCTTTTAAAAAGACTATCACCAACATGTAATAATTAGAGGGTCATCCATTTCCATATATACCCTGCAGGTTTTTAGCGGATAACGACATAGTTTTTCTACCAGAGAATCTGCTAGTCAACGCAACTTTAACCGACATGCTGTAAGAGTTTTGACAGACTATGTTTTATTGTCTCAATCACCACACTTAAACACAAGTCAATCTTGTAGCATCACAGATGAGTATTTTCCTTTTTTGGCTACAATGCAAAGAAAAGAATTCGGTCCTTTGAAAAAAGAGGTGAGAGACTGTTTTAGACTCTGTGTTTTTTGTTTGATAGAATAACCATTAACGCATGAGTGGAGGGGGGGGGGAGGGGCTCAAATGTCTACTTTAGTTGCTAACTGTTTAATTTTTGGTGCAGTACTTGTAACAGTCCAAATAAATGACCCAATTTGAGATTTGGCAATTGTTTGGTATAGTATTTATGCACAGCCAAGATTCTAGTAGTCCTTTCCTAAGGCTTAAGGTTTTTATTTTCCATGTGTGATAATAATCGGGTGCATTTATCGCAATTCTAAACCCATCCCCTATCCCTCTGAAAAAAAAAAAAACTCTGAAGAAAACAGTGCATCTTCACTATGTCTGACCTACATTGCTGACTCACTTGACCATTTGAAGGTTGGTTTGAATTGTGCAAAGGCTTGACTTTCCCATTTTTCAATTTTCACATTTTGAAGTGACATTAGCTCCAATCGTCTCCCATCCATCCCTGATGGCTTATTTCGCAATCAGACCAAGCTAAGGAGACTCTTTATCCAACGCAATCAAATCAGGGTCCTCAACAGAGAGATGTTCAAGGATCTTGACTCTCTGGAATTTCTGTGAGTTCTTGTCCTTTTTATTTGTTATCAGTTTTAAATTCAAAGTTTAAATCATTTTTGAGATATTAGCCGCTCACAAGTCACAAGTCCGGCTGCGAGAATTATATGCATGAGGAGAGGGCGCCCTCTGTTGGTCCTGCCAAAGGGAACAAATCGCTTGGGCCTCATATTTTTTTCCCGTGGGTGGGTGAAGCCATTCATGAATAATTCAGTGGTTTCGACAGAATCACTGCAAGAAACATGGTTCTTGGACTTTTTTACGATTAAATATAAAATTATAATTACCCCAACCACAAATTGGAAAAGAAACACAGTAGATGATAAATGGCCATCGGTGGAGTTAAAGCTATAGTCCATCATTTGCAGCCATCCGAAAAGTAACTGGCGTAATTATTGTTGAAAAACAAACTTAGTTGAAAGATAGTAAGGAGACTTAACTCCCTGTGAAATTATTCTTTCCGGGACGCTGTCATTTTGAAGTAATCAACGAAAGAAGGCATTTCCAACGGTGATTCTTAAGAAGCACCGTAGGAAAATTTAAATTAGTAGTTCGTTTTGTTATTCAGCGCAGCGCGCGCAAGTATTGGAACGACGCACACGCGCGCGCGGTTGTTATAATTCGTCGGATCAGTGCGCGACGTCGCGTATAGCTGCAATTCAAAACATGATTCAGTAACTTTTGATTTGAAATTGAGATCTTAGATGCTGTTTTTCTCGGAATGTACAGCTGAAGCTTAGCTGAAACTTTAGTATCCTTTATTAGATTTTGAACGCTTTTGTTGCTTCAAACGAACAAAATGCACAAATTACAAATGATGGACTACAGCTTTAAACCAGGGATCCCTCCGTCCATTGTTTTGTCCACCATCCACTAGGCCACTGAAGGCTTGGCGACAGTCGTTCTTTAAATGCTTTAATATAACTGGTTGACTAAATAATAACGATGACGTGTCATTGTTTTCTTATGAATTAACATAATTTTCCCATCGAAAAACTACTGAATTATTCATGTTATTGCCTCTCAAGGCTACAAAAACAAAATCGAGTCCTGGTGGCCCTTGCAAAGTTTCCTTTGCGAAAATCAAGTTGGGTTTCTCATAACAATGGTTCATTATGCTCTCGTGTAGTGACAAAGGGTTTAATTGCCCGCCAGTGTCCCATCCAGTGACGTATCCAGAGGGGAGGGGGGCACTTTCATTTTTTTGTGAAAGATATTTTAGATTATATATATATTTTTTTTTGACATGAAAAACCAGAAAGAAAACCAAGCTCCAAAACCATTATAATGCGCCGTGAAAAGCGGCATAATTATGTTTGCAGTATGCATAAAAAGGTCAGTTTTGAAGAGCGCCCCCATGTGGAAGAAGGAATACAGCCCCCCCCCCCCCCCGGGGGGGGAGGAAGAGAGGAAAATAGGCAACATTTCGGCGCGGAAGTGCGAGTGCGGTCCCCCCCCCCCCTACACACACACACACACACACACCCAGACTTGTTTCACATACCTAGTGTGGACTTTCCTTTCTTTTCGTGTAGTTAAGGAACACCAGTGGAAAAACTCATTTTTCTCAAACTGTGAAAACTCTTACAACCCAATTTTTTTTCAATGATTCCCTTTAGTGTTTCTCTTCATTCTGCTACAGATAAACCTAACCCAAAAATGCCTCTAAAACTGTTTTCCAGAAATGGGGAAACACTGTGTGGACGTGGGCAAGTCCACACTTCGTCGCTGCTACCTACATTATGTGGACGTCTTTTGTTCGGAAGTCCACACTGCGTATGTAAGACAAGCTCATCAATGGATACGCCACTGGTCCCATCATTAGGGGCCTATCATTTACAAAATACACTGTTTACAAGCAACCAAACTGCAATTCTTGTTATATTTCTATAGATTCGCATTTGACAATCCTGTCACTGAGATACAAGACTGGCTTTTTTACAACACCCAGCTCACGAATTTGTAAGTACATGTACATGCATCAACAATCACTCGTTTAGTGATCCTATACGCCGTACAAGTGTGACATCAAGCGGGGTCATCTTCCATAGTGATTGGTCTAAGCAATGTGTGTTTAGACCACAGACATATAAACGCATAGACCGCCAGGTCCCATTCGAAACTACACGCGCATTCCGTGATTTCGCGGCGCCCGACTAAAATCCCAAACTATGGGCAAATCCACCACTCGGTATAGGGATTTTACACACACCCAAACAATTCCATTAAAACAATTCTATGAACTTATTTTTCGATTGTAAAAAAACAACACTTTTTTAGCTAAAAAAAATGCTTTGTATGTAAATGTATGTAGTGTCCTAAGCGCGTATCTGCATTGAACGCCCGTCGAGCGGACATGCTAATGTCAACAAGCGTTTTGCCCATACTTTTTCGAATCACGGTTTTACGCGCACGACTGGCGGTCTATGCGTTTATATGTCTGTGCTTTACACCCATTACCCAGGCAACGCGCGACCTCGGCGGCGTATGACGTAACCACTTCGATCCATGGCGCTAAGAACCGTAATGAAATGTTGACCAATCACACCTTGGATATGTGACATTGCGTGCACTTAAATTACATAACGCGAGCGTCCGAAACATGCAGTTTTGTATGGACATTGCAAAAAGGCACTGGAGACGCAAGCAACGTTGCCCACGTACGTAGTGGGCGGGGCCTACTGGATCTGCAAATCCATTAATGTCCACAACATTCTTAATGCTCGATCGAGATATGGTATTAACTTGGGCTTCTGCTTGCAAACTTAGAACAATATTCTTCATTTTCAATTTGTATGTTAGATACATGTTCCAAAACAATCTTTCATCGATTGGAAAGAGGCCATTTGCCACCGTCAATAACACAATCAAACAGGTGTAAGTACATTCATCATTCAATTTTTTCTAATTTGTTTGCTTCCTTGAAAAGAGCCAAGTATATGCGTACCATCTTATGAATACACGTGCACCACCATTGATGAATACATGTACACCACCATCATACATACATGTATTCCACCAGTTGTTTTTTCATAGCATGCACTTTTGGTTTCTGCGTAGATACGGGCCCCTCAAAATAATACCATGAAAAAATAGTGCAGGAACAACCTTTAATACGGCAGAAGATTGCGATATCATTGTGAAGTCCTGGTTTGTAGATTAGCGTTTTATTTGCTTGTCCCAATCACATACTATTCGAATAATTATTTCATTTTTAACTTTAAGGCAGGAATGTACATTTCGCTAATTTTCCAGGTGTGATAACACACTCTTGGTCAAGTATGGATTGATTCGTGAAGTTCCCTCACTTGTGTCATATCGTAGGAAACTAGATGCTTTAATGCTTTTCCGATTTTTCCCAGATCGTTGTATAACAGTCATTTGACAACTATTTCCGATGTCGTTTGGCAAGATTTGGGTTCCAACGCCTATGTGTAAGTTACAGTTTACTTTTTATATATCTCTATTTGAATTACCGTGCCGCCAAAATCGAAATTATTAGTAATTGCTCTTTATGCTTTACCCTTTTTAAAGATATCTAAGCCTTGTTTTGTTTGTATGTATATCACACTTATTTAACGTAACTATATTTTGTTTTGATTGTACTGCTATAGGTTTACACATTGTCGAGTTTCAAGCCGAATCGCCACGAATAGCAATTCTTGAGTAAATGGGGGAATGGTTCTTGGCTGCCTCGGGATGATTCCGTTTGCTCGGTGAAAGATCGTTAAAAATCGAGAAGTGCCCAAACAAATCTGAACATGTTCAAAATTGTCGGGGTGATTCGGGAACTTATTTCAATTCTTGGTTTATTCTTGTTGAATTCATAACTTATTCGGGAATGTGTATACCTAGCATAATATCTTAGCTAAACAACCACGATTTACCTCATAAGTATTCTACGTGCTTCAATTAACTTCTTGTTTATTTCATATAGAAATCTTTGGACTTTACTGGATGATTTTTGTCTTCTTCTTCTTCTTTGCATTTAACATTTTGTCAATTTCTTTTGAAATTTGTTGTTGGTTTTCGTATGCATTGATTAATTTTCTGTGCTGTCGTTAGTTACTGTTTATTTCAGTATTTTAATATTTATTATTTTTTATTACCATTCCTATCTTTTACGTATTTGGTTTGATTTTGTTTGGGTTTTTTTTTTTTTTTTTTGTTGTGTCTTGAAGTCTTTGTTTTTTAATTGGTAGATTTTTTCTGCAAGCTTTTACTTTTTTTTAATTCTTAATTTCGTAATATTTATTTAAAATATGTTTTGTTTTCATTTTGTTAAATTAAATAAATTTTGTATTCACACCCCAATATTTTACATATTTGCATTTTGTTTCCTCATTCTAGCTTTTACTTAATGTTCTAAGTGATTTCACATCATGTTTTTCTTTTTATTTCATTTTATTCTAATCAGGGCCCTCAGTAATAGCAGTTTTTAACTGTCTAAATAAAACTATAAATAAATAAATAAATAAATAAATAAAGTAAAGACTTTGCCCAACAACTGTTACTTAGAGTTGTTCAGAACATAGTACAATTTCATCTGTTCTTTTATTCCCAGGGCTGTTGATAATACCATTCAGTTTGCGCCTGCCACAAACCGGACTGACCTGAAAATGTAAGGATCTTTCACGATTCTCATGGTGTAACTGTGACTTGCTGATTTCTGATTAAGTAGCCGCAATGACAGAATAAAGAATTTGTATTAAACGCACCTCTCATTTTGCATTGGCACATAGTACCGTTAACAGATACCGTATATGCCTACCGTTGAATTTGTTTTACTTTTGTACCTTCGAATTCCAGTGAGTTGGTTGGTGATGGGTTCGCCCTACCGATACGTGTATCAAAGACAATGGCAGGACTCTTCAATGATTCTGGATTCACCTGCTCAAAAACTGGCTTCAAAGTTCTTCCGTGGCGATGTGTGCCCTGTGCACAGGGGTATTATGGAGATCCGCAGAATAGTGTGTGTAAAGCATGCCCACCAGGTACTATCAATGTAGGTTTCATTCGCTAAGAGCATATTGTATTTGTGAACTCCTCTTTAAAAGTTCGTGTCATCTAATATCTGCTTAAAGAAAGGTATGCGAGGTGGCACCATAGAGCTATATTAAATGTAATATAGCTCTATGGTCGCACCATGCTCGAGCGCAGGCAATCCGCACGCATGATGTCCATGCACACCATGTGCGCACTCGCTGTTTCTTTTTCTTCCACCAATGGGGTTGTCAAAATACACGCCGGCCTCAAATTAACGCGCAGTCTCGACTCAATGGGATGCGCTGGAAACCAACTTATGGCGCAGCAAGATCGTTCCCATGGTTGATTGATACAAACCGTGAAGTCGAAGGCAAGTGTCGGATGACATTGATTTTTTTTTTTTCAGTTACCAGCTTTAATGGAAGCATTGTCGTTGAATCGTAGGAGGTTTTTACCAAATCAAGACTGGACAAGTAGCAGACAAATCGCAGCCCATCAACTGTAAAAAGTGCAACAATGGAACCTACGTCACCCCAGCTGCTCACCCTGGTATCAGCCCTGCAGATTGCACCGTGTGTCCTACAGGTACCAATAAAAGTCTCCATGCAGGGTTCCGCGCATGCTCATGTCTTGATAAGTATTACCGTAAAGATCGGTTTGGTGAGTGTTATCGTTGCCCAGACGAAGGTCTTAACTGTTCAGGGGAGTATCAACACCTCTTACCTGGATTCTGGTGGACTTGGAACTGGGGCTCAAACGACAACTACAAAGCATATCGGCGTTTTGTTGTAAACATGAGCAGCAGAAACGATTCTTACAATAGTAGCACGCAGCATTTTAGGGGAGTGTTGCCTAAGGTACATCCGTGTCCACGTAAGGAGTCCTGCTTGAATGAAGGTGATGGTATCAATGTCACTTGTGAGGTTGGTTATGAAGGTTGGCTTTGCTCTGAATGCAGTGTGGGGTACTACGCGTGGTTTGATAGCTGTCATGTGTGCCCAAAGTGGTGGTGGTTCTTACTTGAAGTCGTTCTGTTGCTGGTCGTCTTGGCAGTGGTAATACTCGTCATCGCTTGGGATGTGCGGAGAAACCAGAGAAAAGGACGGTCAGCCATTGATGTGATCTTTGCTAGGGGGAAAATCTTGCTGGGATTCTATCAGGTGATGGGCGAGATATTCTCTGCCCTTAATGAGATTCCCTGGCCGAATATTCTGACCAAGTTTGGGTCATTTTTGAGACTACTGGAGATGAATATTGTCCAACTGGTTATCAGTCCCCGCTGCTACTTTCCAGACTTCACCTACCGCAATGTGTACATTGAGTATTTGTTTGGGATGAGCTTAGTTGCGTTCGTTGTGTTGGCAGCATTGTGTTTCTATTGGGTTTCTAAGTGCTACTTTGCGGTCAAGAAATGCACTGTTGAAGAGCGTGTCAAGGTTTTGTCAACTACAAGGCAGAAATGTTACCTGTTTGTTGTCATGCTTCTCTTTGTGTCATATCCTGGCCTGTCCGGTGTTATCTTCACCCTCTTGCCTTCTGGCTGCGACCTGTTCTATCTAGATGAGAACGAGACATACAATGCTACGAGACTTCGATCCGATTACTCTATCGACTGTCAAGACGAGCAGCATGTTCATTTCAACCATGCTGCCGAAGTTTCTCTCTGTTATGTTGTTGGCTTTCCGTCCTTGCTGTTTGTATTTCTGTGGAGAAGCAACAGACAAGACAAGAGGAAGAATTCGGAGGAGCAGCCTTTGCTTGAATCGGCAGTAGATGATCCGAGTTACTGCAGCATTAATGATCCAACTTTGCCACCAAGAAATGAAGATGATTCCTCACTTAATCAATCAGGCATCAACCTCCTAAATCCCATACAGCAAAGTCAGGCGGACATCAGCTGGAAAAGTTTCCTCAGTGGAAACTACAAAGCAGAGTTCTGGTATTGGGAAATTGTTGAGCTCTCTCGCAAGATAATTCAAACGCTGTTTGTGCTGCTGTACGGCCCAGATGATCACTTCACCATGTTTGCAACCATCGCCATATCTGTTGGGTTCCTGCTCCTACATGCATATGTGAGACCGATGAAAGATGCCACCGATAACCGTCTACAGATGTGTTCCCTTGCAACCATCTTCCTGAATCTCCTGGCAGCTTCCTTGCTCCTGTCTCCTGCTGGAGGTGGCACAGAGAGAACCGAAGTCCTTGCGGCTATCCTAGTTCTGATGAACTTCAGCATCATTGTGTTTGTCATAGGTACGCATTTACTAAATCAATCATCTTGATTGTTGTAGACAGTTCATTTGTGCAATTTGCACGGTGCTTAAGACCAAATTTGACAGAAACTGTGATCACCTGACCAAGAGTCATGATGTAATTGGTCAATGAGCACTATTTGATTGACAGTTGGGACGGGGCTATTAGAATCAGTAACAATTTCACAGTTTGGGTTTCTTTGTATACAGTGAGTCTTCTCTGGATTGTGATGAAATCACTGTGGCGCCGTGGGTGCTGTAGCAGTATGGCAGCATGCATTGCTAAAGCCTGTTGCTGGTGCTATCGACACGAGTCATTGGACAGGGAAGGCAGCGACATTCATCTCATTATGACCAGCGTGAGTAATCATTCGCTTGATGTTGACGAAGACTATGCGGAAAGGCCTTTCGAAGAAATCATATCAGAACATTATCACAAGGTTGAGTAAAAATAATTAATACTTGTTCAAAATTAAAAGGCCAATCAGATATATCAATAATATTGGATTTACCTATATAGTCAAGCACTTATTTAGAATGGAGGCAAAATAGGTTAGAAAAGATGTTGAATGTTGGGGGCATGTATGAGCTTCAAATTACTTTGTTGTAGTTTCGGTACAGATCAGCTTGAATATTTGCAATGGGAGTTCACAATATGTTAAGTTAATTTTATTTGTGGATTTTCGTAAATCATCAGAAATTTCCTTGAGATAGGTGAATTGTAAATAAATATGCACGGACAGAAAATGGTCACATTTTGATAAATTCAAGATCCTGTAAGTCTGGTTGCCTTCTGTTTGCATCAACAACTTGTAAATATGTATCTATAAATATTTTCAAATGTACAAAAATATGGACCAGAGAACAATGTAGATTTGCTTTATAGCTATTTTATCCCCATTCTCTTTTCAAAGATCTGATGAATTTCGTAACTAAAGCTCTGCTTTGTATGAAAGACTTTTCCGAGGTCATTATTTGGCCAATGGTATCTAGAAGATCGATGATCAGTTAACTTAGATTATGTGAGCAGAGGAGTACCTCAATGTGTTTCTTTGAAGGCAAATCATCATTCTTAAGTTAAAAACCTCTTAAACAAGCTGGTTTTTTTTCAAGATCTTCCTTGGTTTTATGAAATGAATTGTAACAATGCACACATCTCTCAATGGCCTTCAATACCAGCAGTTGTTCATCTTTCTTGCTTCTTCTGGACGTCCAGTCTTCTTCAGTTGTGTAGGTGTACATGACATCACTGTAATGTAAGTCACATTATAATAATTATATTGATGTAAATATAGCAGACAATTGCACAAGTAAACTTAAATAAGCACATCACAGATTGAACAAATAGGTAGGCTCAAATGTATTTAAGGTAATCAATCCAAGCACTTCATAGGTCAGAAAAGAATACAAATCCTGCTTTACTCACGCCGTACCATAAAAAACCAGAAGCAGTTTCCTGTTGAGTATATTTACCTTGACAATACAAAAATGTAAAGAGCCTCAGAGGGTTTCTTTTGACCATTCAGAATTATTGCTATATTGTTGTAAGCTTTGGTCTTGACTTCTTGTAGGCTGTCTCTGATTGGCTATTGCCTTCTTGTTTTCCCTTCGTGTGTGCCTGTAGGGAAATGGATGAGTTGCTTACTTTCTGAAGTATACGCCGTCATTTATGAAATAAAATTTATTTTATAACTCACGTTTCTTTTTAGTTTCTACATTTAGTTTTCAGTGTCATTGTCATTGCCCAATAATAATCACTTCACTCGCCATAGCCATGCGCGTCGGTAAAATTAAACTTTTTTTTTTTCAATGTAAGATGATGTCATAAAACTGCCAAACTCACTGGTTCGACTGGAATCCTGCTGATGCACAATTTTAACGTGTTTTAGACGGGGTTACGATCGAGTATAGGCTTTATGTGGCCTTTCTGGGCTCCCATATATTTTGCACTGAACAGTCGGGCACCATTTGCAGAGATGTGATGGGGATCGAAGGGTCATTATCTGCAACATCAGTCGACAAGAAGAAATTAAGTAGGGGAAAAAAGAAAAGCCGCTTCGCTGTCGCTGCACCACTTTTGGGGCAAGCTCCATACCAGAAACCGAAGACTGTTTTGTCCTAAGGGATGAAGTCAGGAACACATGATTAATCGTTCTGCTGGTACATGGTCCATTGAAAAAAAAAGAAGTTCATGCACATCATGATACAAGTAATTGGTTCAAATGAAATTTGGTAAATTTAGAACTTTCTCACCTTTTTTTAAAATCGTGTCTTACTGTTAGGTATGTTTTACAAGTATACTTCGGTTTAAAGAAGTTCAATAAAAATCCCCAAATCCTACTGCAGAACTAGTGACATTGAGTGTACAAGTATTCAAGGAGTCTGTTTTAGTTGCTTACTCCCTCTTTCCGTTCATTTCATTAAGAACAACTTGCCAAACAAAAATCATTTCTTTCTCAGCATTGACACATACTTATTATTTATATGAACTGTTCCTAAGCCGCACTCAGGTCAACACAGAACCGACGTATTTTTTTAAGGATAAAGCTACGTATGTCTGAGCTATGATCGTGCATAGGGAACATTTTCAGTCGCAATTGTTGTTTTTTTGCGACCTGAGAGTGGTGCTACAAAAAGCAACATTCGCAACAATAGAAACAAATGTGAACTTCTGCGCCACAGTGGAAGGTGTAATTCCCGACAGTCAGGTATCAATCTCAGTAGACCTGTTTGAAGTAATTGCGTCGTGCGCGCATTCGGAGCATCTAATTTGTATTGTGTAGTTGGTGACATGATGAGTATGGTTATGATTATTCTGTGTCGAGATGCCGCTTGTTCCAAGACAATCACACGATTTCTCAGTTTTTTGTGACCTGAGAATGACTCATGTGCTATGCTTGATGTAGCCCTTCACCAAAGCCATCGTGGCTTATCTTGCCCGCATTCAAAGCGGCGAAACTGCAAAGTAATTGGAGATGGAGACCACACACGCGAGTGGCAAAGCCACGAGAGCCTTTTCTAACTTGTCGAGAAATTCTTATGATATTCTTTATAATCTCGATTTTGCTACCCCAAATGGGTGGATCTCAAAATTCCAACCAATCATGAGCCTTTTCGTGCGTGCGTGGCTACTACCCGGACGCGTCGACGGGCCCGGATGCTTGCACAAAATTTAAAAACAAAAAAATGCGAGTCTAGTTTTCCACAAGATCGTGATTACGTGATTGTTCTTACATAATCTTATTTTAAATTTACTTATAAAAGTGTTTAAAGAAGTTATTTGAGTGTGTGAACTATTGTTTTCATCTGAACTTACAGTTATTTGCTCTTAGTTTTCCTCTCTCACCCGTCTTTTAAAAATGGAAGCGACTAGGCAAAATCTGCAATGTGATTGGTTAAACTTCAGCACTCTTCTTATTTGCTTAAAACTATAAATAATTCAACTAAATCAAGTCGGGAAAGGCCTCGTGGCTTTGCCACTCGTGCGTGCTGACTTAATCTTTGCTCCAGTCGCCTCGGGTCTTCGCAACTCCGCCGCTCTAAGCCACGATGGCCTGGGCGAAAAGCTATGCTTGATGCCGAAAATTCTGTCGCAGTACAAGCAAACAGCAGGTCGACCCGAAGCCAGTGTAACGGTCTCAGTTATAAGGTATGCTTATCTCTCAAGATAATGTAGCACACGTTACTGTCACAGGCTTTGTTAATCCCCCGGACTGAACTTTCCGGTAAAGGGCACGGACAGCCGCGTTTTCGCCGTTCTGTGATGAGGGAGAGAGGTCAGAAACACCAAGACAATTTCCAATAAAGAGGAGTTTTCTTGAGAAAGGAGAAGGGCTTAAACTCTTCTCGGTACCACCGCGTTATTCACACATTTTTACGTCACGCTACTTAATTATTCAGTGGACTAATTTGTCCACAATCCCATCAGTATGTGTTGTGACAGTCTTGGCCTAAGACTGGATTTGCAGGTCCCGGCGCAGCCAACCGACATCAACGTGAGAGGGCGCTATCGACGAGACGAACCAAATCCAGTCTTGGCGAATTCGGTACGGGCCTCCCCGAAGTATTCCCAGAAATATTCGCTCGCATTAGCATGAATAATAGCAGGAAGCTATATACTGACATGTATTGGTATAACACCACCATATATATAGGCTTAAGAATCATCATTTTCAACAACTCTTTTATGGAATTAACACGTTCACCCATGTAAATCTGCAAATATTCGTCAATCAGAAACAGAATTTCAAGCTTACGACTCCAACATTGACCAATCACAATCGTTCCTCTAATTAGATGTAAGTCTTCTAAAGTTCTTTTATATATAACTGAAAAGGTGGTATTATTTAATATTTTTATTTCTTATATTCTCAGTGTGCATATAATAGGTGAATCGGTGATGAGTTAATTCTTGAGATTTGCATAGTGGAAAGATACCAAGACAAGATAAGTTTGCAGTACCACCATGTGAATAAATCTCTTTTCTGAGTATGTGTGCAAACCTTCAAATGTCATCTTATCTGCAAAGGTCAAGATGCATGAGCGCCATTCCATAAAGCGCTGGAAGTACATCAACAACTTTGCCTTTCTGAAAAGATGCAGAGATTCCAACGTCATCCCTCCCGCCCTCCGGCTCCTATTCCCTATTCGCAGCAAGAAGTCACGCTCCATTCTGCACAGAGCGAGTCTTGCTCTACTCCGCCACCGCATTAGTTCCACAAGGTCGACCCTTGCACCCTTGAACAGGAAGATCACCACCACCCGTGACCAGCTTAGTTCTAGTGTTTCCCACTCTGACTTCGAAAAGCAACTTTCCCTGTCTTCTAGTAACCACGCCTTCGAAATATCCCGCAGCCGTTAGATCAAGAAATTCGCGATCATCACCAAGCGCCGTACCCAGGTAATGGGATCTCCTGTATCCCAACGCCTACTGCCCCCAACCCTACACATTGGATCTTCTATATCCCTACGTCACCAGGCCCCCAACCCGATGAGATGTTCGATGCATCCCATCAAGTCTCAACTCCGTT